TTTTTTTTTTTTTTTTCAGCTCCTGAGTTAAAACAAGTTAAAAAAATGTGACGGTTAAGATCGTTTAGATTTAACTATTTGTATTATTACTTATATCTTGATCTTTAAATTACAGTAACTCTTTCTATTTATATATAACTATTTAATTACAATAAATATTTTAATTATGATAAACATTTTAATCACATATGAAAAAAAAGAGTAATATTATAAAATTCAAATGAAATTTAAAAAGTTGCAATCCAAATCAATGTTATCAGAATCGAACCGGTCATCGAATCGGCAAGGGGGCCGGGTCAATGGTTCACTGATTCAATTGTTGGGTCAACTGGTCGGATCGGTTATATAATAAAAAAATAAAAATATATATATAATAATTATAAAACTTAATAATTTAGCTAAAAAATATAAAATATGTATAAAATACATAAAATTTGCCATAAAATTAATGAAATTAAGTAACAAAGTGGGGGTTATTGTATTTTAAAGCAAAGTAAAGAGGTTCAAGTAAATTATAAAGAAAAAGAAAGGGTGTCATTTATAATTTATCCAAGAATAAGGTTAAAAAAAATTAGTTATTTACTGATTTAGGGCAAAAAAATTTATTTATGTAATTTAATTTTTAAATAGGCATTAAACTGTTCGATTTTTATAAAATCGGCGGTTCACGATTTTTATTAAAAATCGGCCAATTTTTTGGTTTTTAGTCGGTTTGCTTCCTTAGGCGGTTCAACTAAGGAACCGAACCAGTTAGCGTCCTGGTTCACGGTTGAACCGGTCCGACCAGCCGGTTCTGATAACACTGATCCAAATGCATATTATTTTTTGGATGAGTGGGTCCTATCAATTTTTTATAATGGAGCTTACTTATCTCACACTCATCTAAGAGATGACATACATTTAGATTACAATTTTTTTTAATTTTATTTGAGTTTTGTAGTATTTAATAATCTTATCAATTTATAATCGTTCGTGTTGAATTTGTGTCAAGTTCGTGTTAACGGATAGGAGTCGACAACATAACAACAAATATCTGTGAAATGGTGCCCAAATGAATATATAAATCTAATTATTTCGTGTGCAATCTGTGAAATTGAATTTTTAATTAATTCATTTTCAGACAGAGTTCAGCTTAAAGTGCTTTATCGGTAGAGTTCAGTAGGCACCACAACATGGGGTACTATGGGTTTGGAATGATCATGAGTTCGTGAAGGAAGAGGTGAGGGTTTTTGATTCAAATAGTTTCAATGGGATCGTTTACTCGAATGGCTGACACCTCATACCGTAGGCTAGCAATTTCCCCAACTGGTTGGGTCATTGCTATCTTCTTCTTGGATTCTATTTGAAGAAATTCGTCAAAGATTGATACTACCCATACATTTGTTCGTTCACATTACTGTGTAAAAGTGTCAAAACGAAGTCAATATTGCTTACGACAATGAACTGTGTGGCTATTATGGACCTTAGATAAATGAGAACGCTATTGTGCACCTTAGATAGAGGGAAATGTAATGCTCATCAGAAGGTAAATGGCTATATATATATACACCTTTGAGGCAGCATAGGTGGCTGTGACTGGGCAAAGTGGGTGGTCTGTTAGTTACAGAGCTGTTCTCCAAGACTTCTTGTCTGATAGTTTCTTTTATATTTGTTTTAATAGTCTCTTTTATATTTGTTTTAGGACTTCGTTAGATCTATGGACATAAGAAAAAAAAGACAGACGTCTTCATGTGAATAAAACATAAATCTTCAAACACTGCCAGATAGATAGATGGATTTCTTGAGTTCTGTGCTATGTCTTCTGCTTACTATGATCATCTCTCTCTCTCCTCTCAATTGTGAGAGGAAGGAAATCAAGTCCTGGAAAACTTCCACCAGGACCTGTCCGTTTCTGGTCATCGGAAATTGAAAGAACTTGGTAACAAGCCGATAAGTCTTTGGCAGAGCTTGCCAAGACATATGGCCCCATTATGACTCTAAATTTGGCTGCATAATCACTGTAGTCATATCGTCTGAAACAGTGGCCAAAGAAGTCCTCCAAAAGCATGACCTTCTCTTCTCAACTCGAGCTGTCCCTGATTCGATCCACGCAAAACAACACAACGAAGTATCAATGGTTTGTATACAGCTTCAACTCTGGCGAAACTAGTGAAAGATTTGCAATTCCCATATATTGCAAATCATTGATACTTCATTGTGTTGAGAAGGAAAGCGTCATGCTTTTGGAGGCTGTCCGACGCCTAAAAGTACAAGAACTCCTTGCCTACGTTCATGAGAGCTGCCAAGCTGGTGTTGCAGTCCATATTGTCCAAGCAGCCTCTAGAACTACCCTCAACCCATTATTGACAACAATTTTTCCATTGATTGGGCCGACACCAATTCAGGTACTGCACGAGAGTTTAAGGAGGTGGTGAGGAGTAACATGGAAGTGGATGGAAAATCCAAGTTGGTGGATTACGTTCCTGTGCTAAAATGGATTGACCTGCAAGGTATAAGGCTTCGCATGACTGGATTCTTCGGGAAGGTGATAAGCGTCTTTGATAGTGGATCAAAACACATTGCTATCAAGGAAAAATCTTGTTTTTCTTCTAACAGAAGATGTACTGGATATTCTTCTCGCCAAAGAGGACAGTTAGCATTTGATACTGGTTAGTACCACATCTTATATCTCTTTCATTTCCCCTTTAGCGGCATGCTAATCTTTTTTTTGTTCTTCTGCAATTTGCAATGACCAATTTGCTTCTTTATGATAATTACCATCTATTAAGAAATATAGGGTTAGGGTTATTTTATTTATTAAGGGTAGAATAGTCTTTTACTTTTTCTACCTTGTTTAGCTTATATATAATCTCTTTGTATTTAGGTTAAATGATTCCCTTGTATTCAATTAAATTATGTAGTATTAATAAAACTCTAGTCTCCTCTCTTTCTTATCTCTTGTATGTCTTTAGATCGTTTAACACCATCATCTCAAACAAACTCTTTCTCGAGCTCCTTGTCTTGTGAAAGTTTTATCTTCTTGAGGTCGAGGGTTCAAGTCCCCTTCCTCCCCTCCCCCTCTCCCAAAAAAAAAAAATGGCGCAGGATTCATGATTCTCTTGTTTGTGTTGTTTCAGGAATTCATGTTTACATTTTCAAACGGAATACCTGATTAAAGGCATATCTATAGTAGTTAAATTACCAGGGAACCAAACACCTTATATGATTCGACTTCTGTCTTCTTTATGTATTTTTCAGAATATGTGACCATTCATATATCCATAATAGTATATTTCTATGCACATGCACGTTTATTACATACTACATGCATAAGTGGGAGTGAAGGACATGTAACGCTAATTTTCTGTGCCTGTTTTGTATGCTCTCTGTTCTGCTTACAATGACACAAACCGGACATTTTGTCACAGGGCCTATTCGTAGCAGGAAGTGAGACAACTTCAAGCACATTGGAGTGGACACTGGCAGAGCCACTTTGCAACCCTATGATTCTTTTGAAAGCTCGAGAAAAATAGAGCTAACCATTGGCATAGACATGTCAGTGGAAGAAGCAAACATTACCCGGATGTCTTGTTTACAAGCAGTTGTGTTAAGAAACCTTCCAGTTGCACCCACAAATTCCTCACTCCCTGGCAAAGCTGCAGCAGATGTGGAGCTCTTTTGCTTTATAGTCCCAAAGGGTGCACAAACGTTATAAATGCATGGGAAATAGGGTGAGATCCAAGTGCATGGATGAACCCCAATTCATTCATTCCTGAGAGGTTCTTGGGGTTGGAGATTGATGTCAAGGGACAAACATGTTGGACTGATTCCCTTCGGTGCAGGAAGGCAAATCTGGCCAGGTCTGCCCTTGGCCCTCCAGATGTTGGCTTCACTCCGGATGTTGCACTTGATGGTTGGCTTCGCTCGTTCACTCCATTACTTGGAAGCTTGAAGATGGATTCGCTGCAGAGGATATGGACATGGAATACAAGTTTGGGCTTATCTGCGGAAGGCTCACAACCTACGTGCTATCCCAATGCAAGCGTAAATGCTTAGTTTAAGAATAATCAAAAAATTGCCTTCTGAAAAGAAAAAAAAGGCCTTGGCTTGTACTATGTGATATCTCATGCAATGGAATCTAAATTTTGTACAAGATCTGTCATCTTTTGCTAGTTCAAGGTCTATGGTAAGTTTCTTCAAGCACACACATTGATTCACAAGGTGAAAGTTATCAGAGGTGAAAGGAAGAAAGCTATGGGATGAACAAAATTTTATGATCTACTATAGATGGATGTAAATGGTTATAAGTGTGTTGACATTTGGGCTGCCTGTCTGGTTTCGTCACTCAGGTATTCTTGTGTTTATTGGTTTTGTGACTTATTGGACATGTTCTCCCATCATTAACTTCCCGCAAGCATGCCATGAGTAAGGGTGTGGTTGCTTGTCAACTTTTGCAGGACTTCTAAAGTTGACTTAAAGAGACACAAAGTTTTTTAGGAGGGTGGAGATGAAATTGATGAAAAAAAGTTACTGTTACTTTAATTTTTATTGTATGTTACTTTCCAATGTTATTGTTTTAGGTCACTCTCCAATTATGTTCATCTCCAGATTTCTGGGTTAATTATTTTAAAATTATTTTTGAAATATTATTATTCAATTTTACTGAACAATTTCTATATATTGCTGTTGAAAATGAACATTGAAATTTTCAATGTCACTATTATATGTTACAATTGAATGTCACTATTTTATATCACTACCTAATTATGTTTATAACGTTATACTCTTATATGTTATTGTCCATTTCTATGTATTGATGTTAAAATTGAACATTGAAATTTTTTTATGTCGTTATCGAATGTTATTATCAAATATTATTGTTTGATGTTACTGTTCAATCATGTCAAACATGTATATTATGAGAGAGAGAGAGAGAGAGAAATAGTCATAATTTAGAAAAAAAATCTAAAATTAAAGAAATTAAATTTTGATTCAGTCTTAAATTTGGTCACATTTGTATGTGTGTATCTATGTGTATATATATATCTACATAATAAAACAGATAACAACTTGAATTTTTATCTTTTACATATTTTTTCCTCTAAAAATATCACGTCACTCATTTCTATTACATGTTTAATCATTTCTATATTTTCTCCCTAAAAACATCACATCATTCATTTTTATTATATGTTTAATAATTTAATATTTGATTAATTTATAGTTAATATAAATTTTATTTCAAACATTATCCATATACGATGGTATACACATGTTGAAAAAATTTAATATAGTAGGATTGATTTTTTGAACGTTCAAATTTTATATTTTTATCGTGCCTTCAAACACGATATATATATATAAACAAAGAGTTTTAATATGAAAAAAATCTAAAAATTAAGAATTTTAGTTTTCAAATCTATTTTAATTAGGAGTAAGTGCTGATTTAGGGATAATTTAATGTGAATTGTCCTTTTAACTCCTAAACCTTTTTTTGAATGGAATTAAATCCCAATAAACCTCTAAAAGGGAAATGGGCTCCAAATTTCCCTTATAGAAGGGCCTCTGTTTTGGTTGGACCAAAACCTCTTTTAGTGGCGTTATGTTTGGGCCGACCTTCCTTCACGATCATCGATCCATCCGGCGAGCGTTAGCGTCGACGTAACACGTGAATCTCAACGTGTAATCTTATACGGAACTTGACACACCTCATACATATACGATCATTGAAGTCCGAAAATCGATTGACGGTCTTCTCCTGTGCCGGAGCACCACAATTTCCGGCTTCGATCACGTACCGGTGAGCCATCAAATACCTTATATATGTATATATGTTTATGTTTTTATATCATTTAGAATACAATTAATTAACAGCTAATTTGTGGATGATTAGATTTTATTTGTTGGTTGGAGGTCTTAAATATTTGAATTTTAATCTTTAATAAACTTGAAGATTTTTTTTTTGTTTTTATAAGATTTTCCATTGCGGCAGGGTTTTTTTTTTTTTTTTTTTTAATCTGAGAGATTTGGTGGCAATCTGTTGTAAAATATAAGGGGGAATTTTAGATCTTGTAAATTAATGTTTTTGTTGATTTTGTAATTGCCACTTCGTTTGGAACTGTGGAATACTGGCCTTGTAAATGCAATTTAGGGGAAATTTAGTTCAAATTAAGCTGGTAGTCAACCAAATTTATAGGGCAGATCCAAATAGATGGGACAAGGCTTTGTGAATTTTTCCTTGATTCCTGTCCCAGGGCGTCAATTTTAAGTTGCTAAACACAGCATTGTTGCAAATCAACTATTTTTATTTATTCCAATCCCAAATCGTCTTTGATTCGATGCTTCCGATGACAACTTTAAAAAAAATTGAGCGAATCAATTCAACTATGTTTATAATTCCTCCTTCCGGTATCTTTGCTTGGTTTTTTTCATCTACTAAATGTAACCTTGATTTTTTCAGTTGTGAATTTGAATGATCTACTGAATTGTAGTTAGTCTGTTACCCATTTTGATATGCTCCTAAGAATATTATCCGAGAATAAGAGTTTATAAAATTGAAATAGAAATATCAATTACTTGAGGAGAGAATGAATTGGTTGCTTATGTGCTTGAAGCAGATAAAGAAAATCAGATGTTAGAAACAGAAAAAACAATCAAAATACTCACTGGATTTTTTTTTTTTTAATTTGAGTTCTATAACAGGGGTATACCTTGATGAGCTGAGGTCAAAGACCATACACTTGTTGAAAAAAAAGTGTGATCATGAGGATTGGAGTTCCTTCATTGGTTGATCTATGTGTTCAGAAAGCAATCGACAATATTAGATATCTTGGGTATGTTGGGGAAATAGACTGGCATCTTCTCGATCGCATTTTACCCCACTGTACAGTTGACCAGCTGATACACATTGAGAATTCAACAGAAGTAAGAGACTTTTTCCTGCATAGTCTTTTAGAAAGATGTATCTTGGTTTGGATTTGCAGTACTTCTGAGTTGCATATTTTGTTGGGTTCTTGCAGGAAAGAGATCTTAGTCCAGTAACTGATAAATTGTGGAAGAGATTTTATGAGATACAGTTTGGTGCTAAGAGCACCAATCTTGTGGTTGAGAGGATGAAACAGAAGAAAGTAACTTTCAGATGGAAACAATTGTATGAGGTGATCCATAAATTTTCCCTCTTATCTAATGTTAGCTGCACATTGCGTTAGCTATCTATGTCTTGATTGTGTCTGGTGATTAGCAGATTAGTCATTATTATTTTTATTATCGCCTGTAATTTTCGTGGTGCTTGAATGCAGTGAATTACATGATTTCAACTAGATTGATTTCCTTGCAGGCAAAGTCAAAGAATGTGGAGGAAATTCAGCAAAAGTCATTTGATAGAATAAAACAACTGTATAAAAAAGAAGATGCTCGTAAGTTCTTTATCATGGAAATTATATTTTGAAAAAGGTTATATGCTGCTATTCATATTTTTATATTGTTTTTAATTATTTCTTTGTAGTATCCATGTGCATGTATTTACAAATTTTGTTTCATTTTCGGAAGTAAACATAGGTTGGGCTAGTTTAGAACATATTATAGATGGGAGTTTCCTTCCTCCTAGTTGCTAGGTAGATCTGTAGCTTGTTGTCATTCATTTCCTAGTGGGAAGTTTATAAGAAGATTGGACAGAAGAAATTAGATGGATCAAGAAGTTCCCCTTAGAACTGAATATCTGGCGCAACCTTTACACTTGGAGGTCTTAATTCTTGTTGTTATACCGTGCGTATAGATCTGCGAGTGCTTTGCATGATGGTGCTGGAGACAGGTTATGGATAATCCATTCAATCTTCTTTTTTTCTTTCTTCTTTTTTTTTCGAAATTTAGTTTCTATGTTTTCTTGTGACTTGAATATATGTGTATTGTTATTGTTTCCCTGGTGACTATGCATAGTGTATCTTGTACTTTTTATAATGCTTTATGAGCCAGTCATATCTCAAATGAGCTTGTAGTTGCATACTGATAACACCCTGAATCTGATTTATGTTCTTTTTCCTTTTATACATTCAAAACTTGATAAGTACCAGAAGAAAATTGTTACTTTAAATTTGCACTGCGAGTTATATAATTATATCATTGGCGCTCTAAAAGTACACTTCTACTTAATATAAATATATGAAGTTTGATGGATGGCTTATGTCCTACCTTTGTTTTAAGTTCATATAAGTTGCTTATCCTATGAATGAACCTGCCAATCCATGGTAGTAGATCATTGGACTTATTTTTCCTGCTAGAAAACTGAAATGTTACTACTTTTTGTCATTAGGGGCCCTGGCACGGCACGGATTGCTGGCTGGCAGCTTATTACTTTCAAGTTGTATACAGTAATTTATTGGAGGAAAAATGGAAAAGTCTTGAAATACATGCAAAAATGTTGATAGTAAAGAGAAATTAATCTCAGATGCCTATGCCAACATTGAGGTTTACTTATAAAGAGAATTCTCTAGGCTTGCTCCATTTTGCATCATTAGCACCTATCTGCCTTGCTGAAATGAAGTACTTTCTGTGTGTGTGTGTATCTCTATTTTTGGATAAAGTGCTCTAGAACCTATATACGAGCATGCACGCATTGGGATGTCATTTTTCTCTGGTGATTTAAATTTCAAGGCACTAGAGAAAATACTGCTTCATCAGGTCAGAGGGAGGGGTGAAAAGGGGGGGCGTGTGGGTGGGGAATTTGAAGCCATCCTCAACCTGAAATTGGAGCTTGTGACTTATGGAAATATTTGGACATACCATGTACTGATTTTTCTCTATTCACTCTCTTCATTAAATTGGCTAGGTTTCAGTGGGTAATGCTGTGAATGCTCTTTCTATCATGCGCCTGTTACTTGCACTTATTGAGCACAAATGTTGTTGATCTGGCATAGATGCGATTTGTGTTTGTTTTTCACAAATTTAAAGTTCTTATAAATTGATGTATGATGTTATAACTTATTTTAGGAAAACAAAGTCGGCAAGTTCGGATTTGCACAAAGGTTCCACCTTCAAGCTGTAAAAGAAGTTATTACGGAGGTAACTTATCCACTTCCTTTTGGCTTTGCTGTAGTCCAATGTAGTCTATTGGTCCCTCGCTTAAACAATGCTTAGCACCTTGCATCTACAGGCATTGCAAAGTGTTGGTGCTTTAAATACATATTCTGGTTATTTCATTTTAAAAAAATGTGTAGGTGGACCTGGTAGCAGTGTATGCAATACAAAGAGCAACTTAATGAAGAAGGCAAAACTAGAGTTTCTTAACAGGTATGAAATTGTTTTCTAACTTGATGCATATATAGGGCTCTGAATTTCACATTTATGGCATGTTAAGAAGATGATTTTTTCTACGTTCCATATTTATATATATAAGATTGAAAGAATTTTTGGGTTCTTCTGATGGAGAATGACTAGTTTCTTGGCCTAGTACTGAAGCATAGACTCCCAGACATCGTTATTGGACATGTGGTTTTACTGGTAAAAGATGTGCCTCAATATCAATGTCGATGTCAAATACCATTTTTAATCCATGCACTTTTTTCTTTTTTGTAAAATCAAATATACATTTATAAATGTGTGCTGGATAACAATTGATCATCGTAAAAGTTTACTTTGTATATATCAGCATGACTTTGAATATTAACCGGCCTTCTTTCTCTTGAAACCGACTTGTACAACCACAATGTGCTAATGATGTCATGACTGTTTGGGGCCCCTTTTTTTTTTCATTTGGATGGGTTATTCAGGTGGTTAACTTCTCATTCTCCCTTTTAACAGCAAAGAGGTAAAGAATTTGGCAGCTATGAAGAAAAATGCAGTGCAAAGAAAGCATGGGTAAATCTCTTGTTTAACCATATCTACTCTACATTGAGAGACCTATCTGTAAATTCACATACAAATACTAATCAATCTTGCTTCTTGTCGTGCAGTCTCTCTTCCATGAGTAAGCCAGTTGGTTTTTCCGGGAATCCTTCTGCTTCAACTTCCAAACTTAGTAAGCCAACAGGAAGGAGAGTTTAGAAGGCCTACTGATTCTTGGCAATCTTGCTGAGTGAGTAGTGTTATCTACCATAATGTCATCTGTATCTTCTATTCGCAGTTTCATCCGAAAAGAATTTATCATATGGTGAATATCATTTACATTTCATCGTCTCATTCTCATTTCGCACTGCAACATTTTCACATGAATCATCATTGATGCATGAATCATCATTGATGCCTTGTATATTTGGTTGCTTTTTGCAAAGACATTGATATTTTCATTTTGGGGCAAACCTTAATACAGCCCTATCAAGGTTGAGGGAAAATAGAATGAAAATACTTAAAATATGAGTACTTCCTTAAGCAATTGTGATCACATATTCTATCTCCAAATACCAGGGGGAAACTTGTCTGGAAAAACAGCATGGCAACTCCTACAATATTTAGAATCTTTCGGTCACATGATTTTCAATTATATAGTCTTTTGTTGTCTCCAGCTGAACTATTCCTAACCTATGTTCAAAAGCTGGATATACTGGCTGCCGGAGCTAGGGGTTTTAATGGAGCTTTTGCTCGAGCTTGTCGATTTTGTTTGTCTAAATGAGATTAAAAAATTATTTAAGTTTGACTTGTTTAAAAACTAAATCGAGCCCGAGTAGTTCAACTATTTTCCATATAAAAGAGTTAAATTTTGCAAGATCGAGCCGAATTTTTTTGAGTTCTTTTTTTAAACAAACTTAAAAATTGTTTAGGTTCAACTCGTTTAGAACGCGAGTTGAGCTTGAGTTCTATCCAAGTCGAGTCCGAGTTAACACCTCTGGCTAGAGCAATTTGAAAAGAAAGGCCATTTCTAATAATGTTTGAAATAGGAATTTGGTCCTCACAATCAAATTGCTAGGTGGCTGGATACACATGTATTCCCTTATGTATGTTCATCAAAAAAAAAAAAAAAAGAGTAAATTGAATACATCGGTCTGTATGTATATATTGTTAAACACAGGTAATTTTGTCAAAGATTATTATCAACAATATGAATATGGTTGGAGATTAGGCAGTTCCAACGTCCACAAAATGGTGTCAGATGCAACCAATCGCCCTTCATCTTCTCATCACCTAGTTTCGTTTTTCGTGAATATCACGGATTCAAAACTTTTCAGTATTTTTTTAATCAATTTTATTTCTTCACCCACTATTCATGAAGACCGATTATGTCACGTGATCTACCAAAAAGTCAAAAGAAAATTTAGGGTTAATTACGTCGGAAGTCTCCAAAGTATAGAGTTTATTTTATTTTGATCTCCAATATTTTAATTGCATAATTTTGGTCTTTAAAATATTAAATATGCTTCTATATGATCCCTTAAACAAACGACATATAAATTATTAACAATTTTTTTATTATAAATTTGTCATCTGATACCTAAATATGAATAAAAAATAATTTGGGTAGCTCTTAACCAAAATTTGAGCAACTCCTGACAAAAAAAAGTGTAATATGAATTGTTCTTGATCAAAATTTGGATAACGCATGATCAAGATTGTGTAATTTATATAGTTTTTTGAACAGAATTTGAGTAAAAATTGGATCAAGAGTTATCTAAATTATTTTTTTGCTTATAATTAAGCATTACGAAACAAATTTATAATAAAAAATTGTTAGCAATCTGAACATTATCTGTTTGAAAGACCATATAAAAATATATTCAATACTTCAGTGACTGTACTGATGCAATTAAAAGATTAAGAACCAAAATAAAACAAATCTCATACTTTGGAGACCTTCAGTACAATTAATCCGAAAATTTATTAGAAGAGAACTATTCCCACCCCCAACCCGCACTAACATTGTTGGAAATTAAACATTGCTGTGTTTAATAGATTTTTTATACCAAACTAAATGTGGAGAGGGTTCGGCTACCCTTCAATTTTTAAATAATTGAAATATTTTTTAATTCTCTTTGAATGGTAAAGATATTTTTGTGTGAGTAAAGCTTTTTTTTTTTTTTATAATTTAAAACAAGTTTAACTTTTTAAAATATCAAATAAATTAAATGTTCTGACGTGGATGAATATTTACTATTCAACGAGATTTGTAAGATCGTCTAATTATTTCAGAATTAGAGAGGGGCTTTACCGGGAGTGAGTTAACAAATATGGTGAAAGTTATTATATAGACCACGTGGGAGAATTTAATTTGAAGAAATAAATGTCTATTATATTGATTAATTCAAAATGGAAGAATAGAGAAAATTATCTACATTCCTAATTTAGAGAAAAAAAAAAGACCAATGAGTCCTTTTTAAAAAAGATTTCCAAACAAGAACATAATCTACCTAAATTCGTATTTTACCCTTGATGACTTGAAGCTAATCTCGCTATGAAATGATTTATCAAACCGTAAGTTATAAAGTCAACATCAATTAAGACTTAATCACATAGTTAATATGGATTAAAGTGGTGAGAAAACTAGTAAGTTAAAGAGTTTATTACGAACACATTAGAGATTAAATTTTTTTTAAGCTTATAAAAAATATTATTATTTTTAATTTGCATCTTAATACATTAGTTTTGTGCAAGTGTGTTTCTTTAAAATAATAAATAAAATAAATTGTTATTGCTTTGAAATCATCTTTGCAAAGTAGGACTTTTAATTCTACCCAAAATTTATGGGTCTTAATGCTTATTGAAAATAATTATTTTCCTTAATTTATGTTGTCACCAGTTATATAAAGATGGAACATAAATTCTTGAGGTGGAATATGCTGCATGTAACCCTCAGGTGGTTCAATGAGCAAACTTGTCCTCTTACAAACAAATAGTTTCAAGTTCGATATTTTTCATATCTTTTAAGGGTCGATCATTCTTATTCCTCAAGAGATATGTCCTTAAACTAACTTGAGCTACGATAACCAAACTTAGAGCTCAAGGAAATAATCGACATAAACTTAAACACCCTATAACAAAAAAAAACACGCATAGGATCAAGGGTCAAAATCATTCCAAATTGGTAGAGTGTATGCATCGATTATATCCCCCTTTTTTCTTTTTTTTTTTTTGGTTACATGTTCAAGCTTGCGCTGATTATTCTTTTTGAGTTTTAAGACCAATCACTGTAGCTCAAATTAGTTTAAGAACATATCTCTTGAAAAACAATAATGACTAACCCTTAAATGGTACGAGAAATATTGAACCTAAGACTTTTTACTTGCAAGAAGACAAACTTGTCCACGTACCGTCCCTAAATGTTAGACCCTAAAGGTTAGATTATGTCTTCCTGAGGTCCGGCTCCTTTCATCCACCAAATTCCACAGTTCTGCTCTCATCACAATGTTTAAAAAACAAAGTAGAAGTCACTACAACAATCAAATTACTTCTTATGGATAACAAATGAATCACTCAGCTAAAAATCTTTATAACCACAAGCTATCTCATTTTGTTCATCGTATATCTTTGAATAACCATATATTGTTAGATTTTGCATTCTTTTTCAAAAAGTAGGGATTTATGAGGGTTCAAGCAAAGATCATCGAATCAACTTCAGGCTCAGAATCACAAATATTCAGTTGAGTTGACAACCAAGAAAGCTGGTGTATGTCCAATTTATAAATTCAACCTCAAAAAACCTCTCTAGTTTACCAGGCTCCACTAATGCAAGTAATTACAGAGTATGCTATGCGACTTCATAAAAAACCACACAGTAATAATTGACATACACTGCACATCAAATATCCTCAAAGCCATAGATTAAGAATTCAACGCAAGTTAATTCAATAAATAGGTACATACATAAGTTTTTATTCATCATACANTCCAACAGAAACCGGTAAAATACTATCAAGCTAAAAAGGAAAGGACCCAGGCCAGATTTGCCGCCAGTACTATCTGCTAATATAAGAGCTAGACCCAAATCTAGGCAGCCAAAAAAATTACAACATATCAGCGGATTGTATCACAAACAAACACTAGAACCTATGTACAGGAGTTCAGATAATAGAAACAGAGCAATCAGCCACTCCTAGTCTGCAAAGCAGTTGCAGGAAGACTCGATATGGATTAAGTGATAGTTTTAGGGGCAACCCACCAGTGCTGCCCATGTGATAAGCATCTAGTGATCCGACTTATCGACACTGGGCATTACATTCCTTAAAAACTATTCGTGATAGGGTCAACAAAATGTAACCGTTTCTCATGAAAAACCTCCAGTGTAAAGGACACAAAATTATAGACTGAACACAGTGCACAAAATTCTAATCGACTTGTTGGCTTGTTGATGGGTTCTGATCAATGAAAATATGAGATTAGACAGTACGACAAATAGTGTTAAGAGTAAGTAGGTGTTGAATTCACCAATCCAACAAGTTGGGTTTAGATCAACCATCATAATATCAAAATCTTAGACAGGTATAGGGCAAGAAAACTATCCCCATTTCAAATTTCCAATGAACAAACAATATCATCGATAATGTTCAACAGGCCCCTCCAGAAAACTATCCCATTCATATAAGTCATTCAAGCAACCAATATCCAACACAAAAAAATTGAAATAACACAAACCAAAGTCAGATTTCCGAACAAACAACTTTAATAGAAACAAAAAAAAAAAAGCGCAATGGAACCAAATAAAGAGCCAAAAAGCCAGATACGCACTTGAAATTCTGAAACACCAAGTAGACTTGCTAACCAAACCCTCATCATGTATCAGATTCAAAGAATGACCCACTGTGGCCCTATTTTAGTTCCTCCACACTGCTCTATGCATACACATACACACATACACACACACACACACACACACATGAATCCAGATCTATGAAATCAAACCTTAGACTAACACATAGATAAATAATTACAGGTCAATATATATAGTTCGATTGACATATATACGAAATCTAACGTTATAGAGCTTGGATCGAAGAGATAAAGGCAACAAGAGAAAGAACTTTGCAGAGAGCTTCGTAGTGAGAGATTACCAAGAGATCGACGAAAGCTTTGCAGAGAAAGATTCGTGAAGCTTTGTAGAGATGGCGTTTGGTAGTAGTCGTGGGCTTCGCGGACAGAGAGAGAAAGGGAGAGGGAGAGGGAGAGGGAGAGGGAGAAGATTGAGGAAGACAGAGAGGCTGATATATTCGGGCCAAACCCAAATTCAATCCGACCCTGACTCTAAAAGAAATTGGTCTTTTGAGTTAAAATTTTTAATGCTTAAGTTGGTCTTGACAAAAATTTTCTAACCTGAATTAAATTCGGACAAATCTTGAGTTGAAATTTCGGGTTCAACCCGAATATTAAAATCGGGTTGAACCCAAATATATATAAATATATTTAATTAAGATTAATATTTATCTTCACT